GCGTTTCCATTTATTACAGCAGGGCCGTGAACTGAGTGAGAATGCTGCATCCCACCCTGGTCTTATTGATGATCTGCTCAGGGCAAATCCCACTGTGGGGTGATTAGGGCGTGTTACTCAGTCTGGGTGGCCGAGCCACTGGGAATCCCGGCCCAGCCATGCAGGCGCAAAAGCTAAGGAGCACAATGGCCTTGCTAAACGTTGGCACCATCGGTTACGTGAACTCACTTCCCTCTAAGCTACTCATCTGTCCTTTGAGTCCCTGTAGGTCATTCTTTTAAAGAGTTCAGTGCTTACTGCAGGCTTTATTTTCTCAGCAGGCTGAACGATTAACTTGTTCAAAGTTGGTCTGGCTCAAGATTTAATTATTTCCTCCGGGTAGTCGTTTCAGGAGGACATCCAGCCTCAGTGGCTCCAAAAAGTCTGGATTCCGTGAGATGTTAAAAGTCTGGTCCACAATTTTCCAATCTCTCTTTCAGCTACTGGTCTATTTGGGGTGAAGGGGAGACCTTATCAGTAAAACCTAAATGTGTTAGTCTTGGGTGACTATCCGGTTTTCCTCCCCGGGAGCGGCTGGTGGGTGTGAACTGCTGACCCTTCTGTTAAGGGCCACGTGCTCAACTGATGAGCTCTACAGTTCCTTCCTGTCCTCAAAACCAGCCCCTGGGAGGAGCCCCGGGCGTTGTCTGGAGAGTGTGGCTCCAAAGTCTACTTCTCAAGGCTTCCCGGGGCAGCCATTCTCCCAGACGGGTCTCAGGACCCTAGTCCACTCTTCAACCGCGCGTGGATGCCCCCAAGGAGCCATTGTTTGTGTGGTTAGAGCTACACATGCTCCTTTGCTGTTGTTTTTGTCAGCCCGACTCCTGGCATCCCCGCTCACACTCCGGTCAGTCCTGCAGCACCCAGCCCTCAGGAGGGACCGGCCCCTGGGGCCCACAGGGCTTTCCTGGGCCCACTTCAATGGAACAGCACCAGGGGTGCTGTGGGGTTTGAAGTCAGGGGGGCAGGTGAACTGAGCACTTTATCTGAGCGGCTGGCCGGTGTACGCAGGAGAAAGACGTGGCTGTCGGCTCCCTGAAGGATT